TATTGGCAACAGCGCCTATATCAAGTTGAAATAATTTATGCATACCTAGATATTCTACTTTGAAAAAGGAAAATTATCTTTATAAATCAACAATTAAGGCAAAATATGAATTATAGTTCAATACCACCTCCACAAACTACATAAACAACAGTTGTTTTGTTATTTATTTATATAGAGGAAGCTAGGTTAGGTGCAAAAAATGTCATATGTCACAGAATGTCTCGGAACTCGGAACATAAGTAAACAGAACAGCACGCCTCTGAAATACGTCATCTTTGTTTGTCTCATACAGGTAACAGATTCATTGTCCTTTATTAGCTATAACCGATGTTGCCAAATGGTGAAACAGAAACGAATCCCTTTAAATGTTGAATGCATTATTTCATTCCTCTTTCGTGCGTTGTTTTAGAGGTCTTGTATGAAAACTACTTGATTTTCTTTAGGAGGAATATTCCCCATTATGTGTCAAAAGACCCCCCTTTCCATTCAATTTGTTTTCCTAGATGGCGCCCAGTCTTTAAAGCTTCATCTGTCAATTTCACTTCAAAATAAAGTATTCATGCATTAATTTTATTACCCCAATTTTCAATTTTTTGAGTTTAAGGGGGGGGGACATTAATGTACTGTATAATACTATATACAACATACAACTTCTTTTCAAAAAGGCAGATGAACCGACAAGTGCTGTTGCAGCTGAAAAATTCAATAGGTCAAAGCCCGCCTTGGAACAGGTGCTCACGAACGACAATGAACAGATGGTCGAAGGAACGCCATCTGAACCGTTGGCGGTCGACACTTATTACAATAGATATGCAAAGGGCATAATTTTCACTCTGATTAGACAAGTGGCGGTATTATCAATGAACAAAAGATACTGACTGACAAGAGTGACAAGTGTAAAAACACTATCAGCTTTCAGTATTTCAGATAGAAAGCCAACTGAGATGCATACACCGTTTTTGAGGTTCAAGGTATTCATAAAAACCTTGTAGGATTATCGAAAAATTATTGAATTGTTATTTTATGAATGTGATATGATGATCAAGAGAAGTGTTTGTGAAATAATTGAAAATTATGTAGGAAGAGGCTTTTACAGCTGGCGTCAATGTTTTGGTTGGAGATTTTTCCACAGAATATCAACTTATTTCGACATTCACTAACGACAACTTATTTTCACTGGAATAAAACCTTTTATAAACAATTTGATGGAGTCGCCACGGGCAGTCCACTTAGCCCAGTAGTGGCGAATTTCTACATAGAGAAATTTGAAGAAAGAGCCATTGAAACTTCAGAAACACGATCGAAGCACTGGTTGAGGTATGTAGATGACAAGTTCGTTGTTTGGAGCCATGGAAAAGAAGAACTTCGGAACTTCCTAAATCATCTGAATAGCTTTCATCCAAAAATCCAGTTCACCATGGAGTTAGAAGAAGAGCAACCCCAAAGCACTGTCTATCTGCTATACATAGAAGGTGTCACCAACCGTATCGGCAAAATTCTAAAGGAGGAGGAAATTAACACCGTCTCCAAACCAACGAAGAACAAATCGGAGTATCTGAGACCAGCAAAAGACAGCAGAGATCAACTCAAATCACTGCGCTGTCCGACGGGGAACACAAGATCCTTTTCGAAAATACTGAGAGGAGCAACCTCGAATCACTATTCAACAAGAATGAATTCAGGAGTCGTTGAAATACACAAACACCAAGAGGACTTCAACAGAAAGGAAGAGAGGACATTCTTACCAATGATATGGCACACAGCATTGAAAAGCGCATTTGCTTTTTCGGCTGCAGGAAAACCCGAGAAAACATGCAGCACCACATCATCTGAAGATCTTGATCTAACAATGTCCTCTCTCTTTCATGAAACAAAATGTAGGGTGTCTCCAGAGGCTCCAATAAACTCAAGACATCGCCAGAACACTTCGTGACACGACTATCGTCAAACTTAAACCATTCCGTTTCGTCTTTGACTAATGAAATTAAAACAATACCAATTTCTCTCTCTTGGCGTTCAGAAAAAATCGCTTGGACCTCTCTTTTTTCATTTCAAGGGTGAATCCTTCGCTGATATTTTCAACATTGTCACTTCCAAGCCTTGATTGGTGAATGTAATCAATATTTTTTTGACAGGTCTTTTTTAAATTTGATGCTTCGAACAAGATTAATTTTTCTTTTTTTTATCGACCTTTTTTGGGTATTTGTTATCCTCCACAATCTGAAAAATATAAAAATATAATGGAGAACTTTATACAAGTGTAGAAGGGCAAACTTTCTAGTTTACCCCGATAAGTTACTGCGTGAAAATCAAAGTAATTTTCACAAAGAAAAATCTTCTATTTATCAGTAACTTGTCGTATTTAACAATTTTGCCTATCAAAAAAATTATTAAGAAATAATACTTATCTTTTACGTTTCGGAGGCCAAAATCTG